GCTGGGGTGATGGGGACATGGGGGGGACGGTGCTCGGGGCTGAGCTGGGGCGATGGGGACATGGAGGGGTCAGTGCTCAGGGATGAGCTGGGGTGATGGGGATGTGGGGTGGGGCAGTGCTCAGGGACAAGCTGGGGTGATGGGGACATAGGGGGACAGTACGTGGGGATGAGCTGGGGTGATGGGGACAAGGTGGGATCGGTGCTCGGGGCTGAGCTGGGGTGATGGGGACATGGGGACACAGTGGTTGGGCATGAGCTGAGGTGATGGGGACAGTGCGGGGGATGGTGTTCAGGGCTGAGCTGGGGTAATGGGGACACCGTGGGACAAAGCTTGGGGCTGAGCCAGGGTGATGGTGCTCGGGGATGAGCTGGGGTGATGGGCACACAGAGGGATGGCGCTCGGGGCTGAGCTGGGGTGATGGGGACATGGGGACACAGTGCTCGGGGCTGAGCTGGAGTGATGAGGACACAGTGGTCGGGCATGAGCTGATGTGATGGGGACAGTGGGGGGACAGTTAGGACAGAGCTTGGGGCTGAGCTGGGATGATGAGGACATGGGGACACAGTGCTTGGGGCTGAGCTGAGGTGATGGGCACAGTGGGGGGACGGTGCTCGGGGCTCAGCCGGGGTGATGGGGACACAGTGGGACAGTGCTTGGGGCTGAGCTGGGGTGATGAGGACATGGGGTGGGTCAGTGCTCAGGGAGAAGCTGGGGTGATGGGGACAGTGCTCAGCGACGAGCCAGGTGACAGCAGGGGGACAATCCTCAGGGCTGAGCCGGAGTGATGGGGACATGGGAGGATGGTGCTTGGGATGACCTGGGGTGGTGGGACACAGGGGGACAGTGCTCAGGGCTGAACCGGGGTGGTGGGGACACGGGGGACGGTGCTTGGGGATGACCTGGGGTGATGGAGACACAGGGGGACAATGCTTGGGGATGAGCCAAGGTGATGGGGACATGGAAGGCCGGTGATTTGGGCTGGGTTGGGGTGATGGAGACAAGGGGTGGGGCAGTGCTCAGGGACAAGCTAGGGTGATGGGGACATGGGGACACAGTGCTTGGGGATGACCTGGGGTGATGGGGACAAGGCGGGGGTCAGTGCTCAGGGACAAGCTGGGGTGATGGGGACAGTGCTCAAGGACGAGCCAGGTGATGGGGACAGTGGGGGGGACAGTGCTTTGGGATAAGCCAGGGTGATGGGGACACAGTGGGACAATGCTTGGGGCTGAGCTGGGGTGATGGGAACATGGGGTGGGGCAGTGCTCAGGGACAAGCTGGGGTGATGGGGACAGTGCTCAAGGACAAGCCAGGTGATGGGGACAGTGGGGGGACAGTGCCTGGGGCTGGGCTGGGGTGATGGGGACAAGAGGGATGGAGCTCAGGACTGAGTTGGGGTGATGGGGACACGGGGGGATGGTGATGGGGCCATGGTGCTGGGGGATGGGCTGGGGTGATGGGGACATGGAGGGGACAGTGGTTGGGGACGAGCCAGGGCGATGGGGACATGGAGGGACGGTGCTTGGGGCCAAAGCAGGGTGACAGGGACACAGTGGGGTGGTGCTCAGAGCCAAGATGGGGTGATGGGGACAAGAGGAGGTGCTCAGGGCTGAGCCGGGGTGATGGGCACATGGACGGACAGTGCTCGGGGTTTGGCAAGGTGGGCGAGCGCGGTGCCAGCCAGCAGGCAGCGTGTGGGCACCGGCTGCCCTGCAGATGGCACGGGACTGGCAGGGGGCGCCGGCCACCGCGGTTTCTCTGCCAGGAAGAGGTGGGGACGCGCCGTTTCCTCTCCCGGGAGGGCCACCAGCCGTGGGGTGGCCGTGGGGCAGCGTGGGTCCCGCGCCCCGTGGGAGGAAGCTCCCAAAGCCAGCCCTGTGTTTCACTTCCACGCCGGGTCGCCCACGCAGAGCCCCGGGCGAGGAGGAGGAGGAGGAGGAGAAGGAGCGGAGGAGGAGCTGTGGGCTGCAGCCACCCTCCCCGCCTTGCACCCCAGGAGCCATTTGGCCCTGGTGACCAAGCTCTCGACGGTGGCAGCAGCCCCGGCTCCGGCCGGCTCGCCCAGGTAGGGACGGGTGGCCAAGGGTGGCAGCGGGCAGGGGGGTGCTGCCAGTGGGGCAGGGTGAGCCCCTCGGTCCCCGTTTCCCCCCGTGGGGCAGGCAGAGGGTTTCGCTTCGCCCTCACTTCTGCTTCTGCTCGCCGGCCGTCCCCCCCCAACCCCGGTGCTGTGGGTCCCATCCAGCCGGGTGAGATGGCTCTGGGTCCGGCCACCACCCCTGGGGATTGTCACCCAGCTGTCCCCTCGGTGTTGGGAGAGGTGTTGGAATTTCTGGGTCATGGAATGGGTCGGGTGGTGGATAGAGATGCTCCTCCTCGGTGTGGCGGCCACCTCTCTCTCTCTCTCTCTGCATCCCCAAAATCCTCCATGCCTGGTGCCGGAGGAGCCAACTCCCCCCATGTCCACCCAACCCGAAGCCACTCTGTCCCCGTCCCATGCCCGGTTCGACGCGGTGACAAGCAGCCGGGCCGGGAGCTCCTCTCCCAGCGCCCCTCCACCCCTGGAGCCTTATTACAGACTTCCCCAGGGAACCGGCCAATTAGCCCCGCATCAGTAATTAAATCCATGGTGGAGGAGACCACGGACCCGGGATTACCCGTCCCTGCCTGGAAAATAAGAGCATCTTTAATGAGTCCTCCAACAGGTCTGGCTGCAGGAGCCATTAGCCCCGGAGGTGCGCGGTGATGCCGAAGAGCTTCCACGTGGCCACCCGGCTCCCAGCCGTTGCCCACGGGTGTTTTTGGCAGGGACGGGGTGTGTGTGTGTGTTGGGGGGGAGGAGGAAGGCAGTTTGTGGGTGCAGCACCCAGCGTTGGGAGCTGGGAGGGTGGGGGGGGTGCAAGGACCAACATGGTGCCGGCGGTGGCCGGTCGGTGGCTGCATCACTTGGTTCTGGATGTGTCCCCAG